CCTCCCATGCCCACCACAAGGGACACGCAGACTCTTGGGAGCTCTGTGCGTGGGTGTGTCTGTCTGTGTGTATGTGCAAGTGTGTATAAAGGCAAGAGGTCAATATTGGGACCTTCTTCAATTGCTCCCCACCTTATCTTTGAACCCCATCTCTTGCTGAGCCTGCAGCTATCCCAGCTAGTCAGTGAGCCCCAGGGATCCTGTGTGAGTCTCTCCAGCACTAGGATAACAGGTGTTGATGCCACGCCCAGCTTTTTATGTGGGTGCTGAAAGCATGTCCCTGTGTTTACACACTGAGCACCTCACCAACCCAGCCATCTCCCGATCCTGCTTTCTGTGGATTTGTTGTAAAGTTGCCCGAGCCCAAGGATACACAGTGAACTGAGCTGAGTCCAACCATCCATTACCAAGTGATGAAAACCTTCCAGCACACACTGACACTTGGTAATCTAACTGGAAAAGTATTCAGGGACTCTATGATAGTAAAGGTGGAACTCAGCATGAAATGACAAGTAGTTCCTATCCAGACACCATCCTTATGCCCCACACAGGTAGAGGAGGTGACTGGGGTTGGGCAATGGGAGGAAGCTGACGAGGGATGGAATGTTAGGGGGGCCTCATCCTCCTGTCCACTCTAGCTCATCAGATTCTTCATTGTGATAACTAGTTTTAATTGTCAACTTGATACTACATTGGGGGGAAGTCTTTTTATTGTTGCTGCTACTGCTACTGCTGCTGTTGTTGTCTGAGACAGGGTCTCACTATATAGCTCTGGCTGTCCTAGAACTCACTACGTGTCAGGCTGGCCTCAAACTCACAGAAAGCTACCTACCTCTGTCCCCTCAGTTCTTGGATCAAAGGCATGCACCACAACATCTGGCTGGGAAGAGTGTCTTTTGAAGGACTGATTAGATCAGGATAGCCTGTGGCCATGCCTGTGAGGATTTATCCTAATATAAATTGATATGGGAAGACACAGCCTGACATGGGCACCATCATTTCCTGGGTTTGGTTCAAGAGTGGCAAAATCGAGTTGAGTACCAAGCACGCATGCGTACAGGTCTCTGCTCTCAGCTGTGGATGTGACTAGCTGTTTCAAGTTCTTGCCTGTGGCTTCCCTGCTATGAATGGACTGTGACCTGTAATTGTGTGCTAAGATAAACCCTTTCTTCCCTAAGTCATTTTGTGTCTGGGTATTTTATCACGGCCACAGAAATGAAACCTGGATATCCACGAAAGCTACACAAAGTGAATACATGGCCCTCAGCTCCAAGACTGTCCTCTGGCAGTGAAACCAAAGATGACTCTGGAGGCCTGGCCTGTGCAGAGGCAGCAAGCAGGCATGATGCCCACCTGAGGTGGCCCACTGAGTAGCAGCCTGCGGGGGTGGAAACTGTCCACACGGCCCTCAGCTCTGTTGCCATAGTCCATGTGGCTAGGCCGGGGCACTGTCCACTGCCGATAGTAGAGAGACTGTTCAGTTGATGTCATCATCTTGCTGAGCAGGGGCCGGAAGGAGCTGGTCCACATAACAGAAGGAGAAGGGAGGAGGGAGGCAGACTTGGGCAAGCCGCTGCTGTCGGTGGACAGGAGCATATCATATACAAGCTTAGGCAGGAAGACAATGGGCGGCTGCCGGCAGGCCTTGGCCATGGAACACTGAGAAGCTTGAAGGACCAGTACATTAGCAGTGGGCACTGCACATGTGGATGATGAGCCCGAGGAGGAAGAGGAGGAGGAGGAGGACAGCTGGGAGGATGGGGCGGCTGGCACCTGCAGGCTCCTCCGGCCAGTCCTGAGGCTAGAATCAGGCTGTGGGACCAGGCCAGGGCTGTGCCTACTGATGACTGTAGGTCCCTGACTCACTCGGAGCCGCTGTATCTCCCCAGGCATCCTGCCCTCCTCTGCAGGGCCACTGGGTGGAGGTGATCTGGCAAGCTCTCCCTGAGGAGGTCCTGAGGGTTGAGCCAGGGACTCACCATAGAGCACTGAGCCTATAAAAGAGAGGAAAATGGTCAGAGGCACCCCAGGAACAAGCTGTCAAACTCACAGCTGGCCCTGTGCCTACCCCAAGTATGCTGGGATGATTTAAGCCAAAGCTGGTAGACATATATTTAGCCAACTTCTCCACAAACCAAATTTCCCTCAGTCACAGAGTGCCATGCTAATGCAAAAAGTGTGAACATCTGTGGGGCAGACCATCCATGACACCTGCTATCATTCTTGGGCTTCTAAAGCAAATCTCCTGCTGGGCCCTGAGCTCTCCCTACCCCAGGCCACAGACTGGTGTTCCCTAATCTTAGCTAAGCTCCACTGAACCCCACACAAGCCTCCATGCCTCTGAGCTTCTCAGCCTAGAATATTCCCTACCCAGGAACATCTCTTCCACTGAGGCTCTACACAGAGAGGACTATTCTCTAGAACCCGCGATGAACAACTGCCCCAAATCCATCCTATATGTGAGACAATGTGAAGGAGTTGGTGTGACTCTGTACCCAGAGACGATTAACCCAGCACTGGTGTTTACAAGCAAAGATGAATTTAGCTTTGTTCTGTTCTGTTTCTATCATATTCCTTATTTAGTTTATACAGTAATAAAATTCCATAAAGCATACATCCTTAGTTCTGTTTAACCCTCCCCCTTATTCCCACCTCTCCCCAATCCCACAACCTTGATTATTTTGTTTGGCTTCAAACTTTCTCTGTAGCTGAGCCTGGCTTTGAACTTTTGATCCTTTTGCCACTGCATGATGAAATTACAGGTATGCACCACTATGTCCAATTTATGTGGGACTGGGGATTGAATGCAGGGCTTTGTGCATGATAGACAAGCACTCCACAAACTGACTGGCATCCTGAGCCTCATAGATGATAGACGATATTTCTTAAGGGCAGAGTTCATACTGAATTTACCTTTCAACACTCAGATTACACTGAATGGCCAGTATGATACATACTTTAAGATGGGCAATGCTATTTCCTGTGCATGAGGTCTTGGCTGAGCTCAGACGCCAAGGATCTCTTGGGGTTGGTGCCCACATGAGACTATTTATAGTCTCTCCTCCTGGGTACACACATTGTGAGCTCTTGTTGTTTCTCTCATGAAGTCTCCTACATTCACTTCTCTGGACAAGACCCCTGCTCTCCCCAGGCAGTATCCGTGAAAGCAATATCTATGAAAGGGACACCAAAAGAGGTGCAATCACATGGTCAGGACACTGTGGCCCACTCTGCAGCCGGGGCAGTCTCGGGCAGCCTTGGTCTCTCCTACCAGCAGGAACAGCTAGATGCTAGAGTCCTATCCTGTCTTCAAGGCTTCAGGTGTCCAGTTTAGTTCTACGCTATCCTAGAGTCAGTTCTAGACTATTCTAGAGAATCTGTTCTCACAGGTCCTGATTGGAAGCGTAGACTAAGCAGACCCCCCCTGTGTGTGTTCTTCTCAGTTTCTGAGATCAGAGGCAGCCCCATATGTGATGTTCCCAAGTGGAGGCTCACCAGAGGCTTTGGAGGAGAGGGACGAAGATGCAGAGTCATGGGAGTGGGAGCGTTCCCTCTTCACAGGACCCCTCTGCTCTGAGGTGGAGCCTGCTTCAAAACACCCTGAGAACACAGAGGAGTCACTATCCCTGAGCAGCCTGGCATCCAGAAGTGAGGAGGTCATAACACCTCATACCCTGTTTCTTCCCTCTCATTCATTCACCTGATGCCATTTTAGCTGCCCCACACACACACACCATATCACACCACACACCATACCACACTCTTAGTTAAACTGAGCCCACTCTCAACAGAGTTAAGAACAGAACAGAAGGAAGTGGGTCAGGTCAGGCCAGTGAGTATGGTCACACCATGGGCAACAGGGAAATGGAAAAATTTAATACCATGGTTGCAGTCATGCTAAAATTAGCCACCACCGAGAAAGTCATGGTGAGAAGGCTTTGACATCTTGAAGGACAAGCTGCAGCCAGGAGGGACTTTTGTCTGTCATGTCTTATCACCTAGTCAGCCAGGAGAGTAGTAACAAACCTTTACACTTGCTTTGATTGCTACACTTGCAAACGCATGGCTTCTATTTTCCCACTGTACCGTGGACTAAAACCAGATGCTGCCCTTATTTGTATATTATATTAAAAATATGGCATGTTGGCCAGGCAGTGGTGGCGCATGCCTTTAATCCCAGCACTTGGGAGGCAGAGGCAGGTGGATTTCTGAGTTCGAGAGTTTGAGGCTAGCCTGGTCTACAGAGTGAGTTCCAGGACAGCCAGGGCTACACAGAGAAACCCTGTCTCGAAAAACCAAAAAAAAAAAAAAAAATGGCATGTGACTCCTGGAGTCTATACATGCTGCCCCCTGATCTCATGAACTTCATCAGCATTCAGTAGAATGGTGAGCGCGTTGATTTCCAACAAAGGCAACAAGTGGGGGAATCTACCAGCACTAGCACTAAAACCAAGCATGAACTTGAACCCTAAGGAGTCACTGCTTTCTTCCTATTCTTTACAAATTCTAGATCATAGAAGGACCAATAGGAATTCCCATGTTCCCACACCACCAAGAATGACAGAGCAGGGAGAAAGGCAGAATCTGAATCTTATGAGTATGCTGTCACTTAGCAGATGCCCTAGGGAGTTGTAAGGCAAGAACCTAGGTACAGTCAGGCCACCCTCACCTTCTGTCCCCGCCTCCTCATCTTCATCTGTGCTGCTCAGCTTCTCCCCATCACTCTCCAGGGCCTCGTTCTTAGGCCCCTTCTCCAAGGGGATATCGTTGCTAACAAAGTAAGCAGCCAGACCCAGTTCCTGCTCCAGGGCTGTCCTCACCAGGCAGGAGGAGTTTATTAGACGCAGGTCACAGTACCTCAGAGACCTGGGGAGGACAGAAGGTGTTCATCTCCCACCCCAAGGAGGTTCTGCTGCTAGAGGACAGGGCAATAGGGCCATGCCTGCTTCCCTCATTAGACCACAGGGCTCCGATACATACAGAAGCTTACTGTGAGCTCATCACATCCAAGCCAGGTTCACACTGAGTCTCAGAAAGCACCTACCAGGGATCTGCTCCTGTGGGGCATGTGATCGAGATTACTGACTATTGGGTTGGGCAGAAGTAAGGACGGAACCTCAGCAATGCCACTTCCCTGGAGGATGGGAAACTCTGATAAGATGTGCAGCATCCCAGAGGCTCTGGTTTTTTTTTTTTTTTAATCCCACGAAAAAAAATAGATGAAACTGAATAGTCATAAGGACCTATGTGTACTGTTAGAGACTGAATGTTGGATATTCAACTAAGCCATCCACACTTAATGTTTCCCCCAGGGTTGTGCTGGAAGCTAGGAATACGATAGCAATGGAACCAGACAAAGTCACTCCTATGAGAACCTTGTAGGAGGACAAGTGATCTCCTGTCTAAGTGTGTGCAGCCTAGAAAGTGAGGGAGTCACTCAAAGGTCATGTGCCTGTGGTGACTGTAGAGACACACAGGTAGGTTTGAATGAGAATGGCTCTATAGGCTTGTATATGTGAATGTTTGCTTCCCAGTTGGTGGAATTGTTTGGGAAGGTTTAGGAGGTGTGTCCTCACTGAAAGAGGTGTATCACTGAGATTGAGCTTTGAATTTTCAAAAGCCTATGCCAGGCCCAGTTTGCCCCTCTCCCCTTCCCCCTCCCCCTCCCTCTCTCTCTCTCTCCCTCTCCCTCTCCCTCTCCCTCTCCCT